AAAAAAAAAACAAGAAAGTATCATTATTGTACACCAATAAAATTCAGTGATGACAAAGTCTGTATGTCAATGTCACCCTTAAATATAGACTTAACAACAGTTTACAATACACCTATCCTAGAAGCCATAATCTCACATTTCACAGGTCAGTCACATCTGACAAGAATAAAGCCAGAAGGGGATGGGGAGATGGTTCAGAGGGCAGGAGTGTGTGTTCTGTGGGCATGAGGACCTGGGTTCATATGCCAGCACTGAAGTACAGGCTGTATGTACCTATAACCCCAGAATGAGGGGATGCAGATGGCTGGATGGGCGGAGCTTGCTGGCCAGCCAGCCTAACCAGGCAGCAAGCTTCCAGTCCAGTGAGATACCCTGCTTCAAAGCAATGAGGCATAGAGCAACAGAGGAAGACCCCCAGCATCCTGCGCTGGACTCTCCCTGTGTGCACACAGGCATGCACACATACACCCACATATTCATGTGCGTGCATCATACATTCAAACGTTCAAGCATTCAAGCAAAGAAGGCATGATGGTGTACGCCTGTAACCCCAATTTCTGGGAGGCTGAGGCAGGAAGATTGCCTTGAGTCTGAGGTCAGCCTGAGTTTTATAATTAGTTTGAGGCCAGCCTGAGCTACAAAGTGACACCCTATCTCAAAACACAGAAACAGATAAAAACTAAAAAGGAAGAAAGTGGTTGCCTCAGGTAAACAGAGCTGAGACATGAGAGTTGACACTTTAAACTATGTGCACATTAGTCCATAGATGAAAATTTGTCTTTTTTGAAAATATGACTTGGGCTGGAGAGATTGTTCAGCAATCGGAGAACTCGCTGCTCTTCCAGGGGACCCAAGCTCAGTTCAACCATGTGGAACTCCAGTTTAAGGGGACTTGATACCCTCTTCTGGCCTCCACAGGCACCCACATATGTGCACACACACACACATAAAAGTAGAAGGGTAGTGAGATGGTTCAACATTTAAGAGCACATGCTACTCTTCCAGAGGAAGGCTGATTCCCAGTACCCACATCTGGCAGCTCACAACTGTCTACAACTCTAGCGCCAGGGGATCCAACCCTTTTCTGGCCTCTGTGGGCCTACACATGTATACATACACACACACAGATACACACGCATACACAGTAACTTTACAAAATGGGTGCACTTACATACATGCAGGCAATATACTCATACACATAAAAGAAACTTTAATAAATTCAAGTTCAGCCTGAACTATGCAGCAAGACCCTGTCAGTGGAGACCTGGTAAGGCGTCTCAGCTGGCAGAAGCACTTGCTGAGCAAGCCGGGCAACCTGAGCACCATCTCTGGGACCCACATGAAAGTGGAAGAGCCAAGTCCTCACAGCTGTCTTCTGACCTCCACATGCTGAGACACGCACCCTCTACACACACAAATAATACATACATTTTAAAAAAGCAGGTGGAGCCAGGCCTGGCTTTACAAGCTATAATCCCAGCTACTTGAGAGTCTGATGCAGGAGGATCACAAATTCAAGGCTAGTCTGGGCAAGTCTGAGACTCTCAAAATGAAAAGCACAAAAAGGGATGTGGATACGGCCCAGCCTAGCGTGTTCAAGGCCCTGGTTCAAGTCCTACCCCTACTAAGAAAGCAAACAGAAATGACTTTCATTCCTACTTCTCAATAAAATCTCCCAGAATGACTAGCTTTCCATTTCTCTGATTGAACCCAGAAGCTTCTGGTGCTGACAAGTCTGTTGAAAGCACACCCTGGAAGAGAAGGGACAGTGACATGCAAGTGAGGAGCAAGGCTGCCAAGTCACAGTAGAATGACCCCACCTGCCAAGGCCACCAACCTTTTCTAAGAGTGAGATATATGTGACGGGTTCACATCTGCCATGGGAACGTGCCTGGAGCCTCAACTTCAGGCTAGGACAGGCAGATTATGAATTCAAGGCCAGCCTAGGCTGTATCAAAACCCTGCTTCCCCAAACAACAAAAATAGAGATGTGCCACTATTGTGATGAGCTCCTTAGAAAAAGAGACAATAGAATTAGTCTTTATAAATAGAAGGCTCATTTGTGTCAGTATTCACATTAGAAAAATATACACTCCCTGAAACAGACCTTCTGTGGGTAAAATCTATACAAATATAGGATCAAGGTCCTGACTCCTGCTCAGCATGGTGGGCCATCCCTGTCATCCTACTACTTGGGAGATGGAGGAAGGAGGATTAGGAGTGCAAGGCCAGTCTGGGTTAGGTATCAAGTTTGAGATCAGTCTGGGCTACAAAGAACACTGCCTCAAACAACAGTGCTCCCCCGCCCCCCGGCCACACACACACAATAGATTCTGACTCCTGGTCACTGAGAGGGCTCTGCCTCCACAGTGAGGAAGGCCTCCATGGCTTCAAGAGCAGCCCCTTCTGCCAGGCCAAACCTCAGAGCTGAACCCCTTGCATTAGTCACCATGACAATATCCTCCTGAGATACTATGGTACCTGGATCAGATAAGATAATGCCATCATAAGTCTGAATAAAAATCTGCTCCTGGCCCTGAGACACTTGTTGACACTGACTGGAAACCTCAAAAGCCAGGGCTTCTCCCACAGCAGCCACAGTCTCCTGCTCTCTCTGGTCACCATGTGCCTCCAGCCTGCAGGGGAACTGGCTTATGTCCCCGGCTTGGCTTCCAACACTGAGATCCATATTAGTTGACAGCAATCCATCTGGTCCAGGAAGACCTGGCTCTGGCACACTCTTGGAGGCATGGGCAACTGGCAGGATATTCATAGGCAAAATGTTCTGGAGTGGAGGAGCTGCAGCCTCTGCAAGCAGGACATGGTTGGGGCTGACCTGCGGGCCACTGAGGTGGGGATGACTCATCTTGCCCAGGTCCCCTGCCTCTGCATTTCCAGACTCACCAAGCACTCCCCCATCTAATGATGGGGTGCCACAGGTACCCTGGCTCCTCTGGATAACACCAGCAATCTGGTCTGTAGAGTGTTCTGGAACATTCTCTTCAGAAAACACCGGCACTTGGGCTGGAGGTGGCCCCCTGGGTTTTGCTAACTGAGCATAAAGAGCTGGCCCACTGACATCCTGACACAGGAGAGCAGGATCTGCAAACCTATGCCTGGCTTCAAAGTCATCAAAAGCCCCCATTACAAGCTGCTGACCCGCAGGTAAAGCATGCCCACCACTAGTAGAAACCGTCTTCTCACCACTTCCTTCAGAGCAGGGAGAGGAGTTCTCACTTGCTGCAGAGGCAAAACCTGAAGGGTTCAGAAAAACACTAGTCACATATGCATGTTGTAAATGAACTGGTCCAAACTAATGTTCTTGCAAGAAGAGAGTAACACTTTCCTTGCTCTTGAATTTGGTAGCAATATTTTTGTATTAGTTACTAATGTCTAGTCATTCAGAAAGGAAGATTTTGTATTAAAAACATATTTGGAAGCCAGGCATGGTGGTGCATGCCTTTAATCCTAACACTCGGGAGGCAGAAGCAGGTGAATCTCTGAGTTCAAGGCTGGCTTGGTCTACATAGTGAGTTCCAGGACAGCTGGGGCTACAGGGAGGCCCTGTCTCCAAAAAGACCAAAAAAAAAAGACTATTGGCTAGGTGGGTGTAGTGGCACACGCCTATAATCCCAGCACTCAGGAGGCAGAGGCAGGCAGATCTCTGTGAGTTCAAGGCCAGCCTGGTCTACATAGTGAGTTCCAGGATAGATGAGTTCCAGGGAGACACTGTCTCAAAAAGACCAAAAAACCCCCACTATTGGCTGAGTGCAAATGAAGTATAGGGTGGGTCGCTGAGCTTCCAAGCACGGATGAAACTAAAAAAGAAAGCTGACTAAGCCAGGGGGCTATGCTTAGACTGGTACTGGGGGATCCTTGTTCCCACTGGAAAAAATCTGCCTTTGCCCAGGCAGAGCTGGGTAGTAAGTTCTAAAATGGACACTGCCTCTTCCATTGGTCTTATCATCAGGCCAGGAATCAGGTGGCCCCATATGACTTTACAAAGGCATGTGAATATTGCCAATATATTCAAAGTACCTAGTAGATAGGATCTGGTCGGAGGCAGAACAAAAAGCCAGAATGTCGTGTTCTTTTTTAATTAATTAATTTTATGTGTATGAGTGTTTTGTATGCTTGTATGTAAGTGCATCCCTATATACAGTGTTTGCAGAAGCCAAAAGAGGGCATCAGGGGATCAACTGGAGTTATGAACAGTTGTTAGTAGCGATGTGGGTGCTGGGAACCAAACCTGGGTCCTCTGCAAGAGCAGCCAGTGCTCTTAACTGATGAGCCATCTCTCCAGTCCATGTCTTATTTTCTTTTTTTTTATATTTTATTATTTTTCTTTCCTTATTTATTTGGTTTTTTTGTTTTTTGTCTTTTTGAGACAGGGTCTCCCTGTAGCCCCATCTGTCCTAGAACTCACTATGTAGACCAGGCTGGCCTTGAACTTACAGAGATCCGCCTGCCTCTGCCTCCCAAGTGCTGAGACTACAGGTGTGCACCACCATGCCTGGCTATTTATTTGGTCTTTTTTTGAGACAGGGTCTCTCTGTAGCCCCAGCTGGCCTGGAACAAACTATGCAGGCCAGGCCGGCCTCAAACTCACAGAGATCCACCTGCCTGTGCCTCCCAAGTGCCTCCCATAGCCACCACACCTGGCTATTATTTTTATTTTATATGTATGAGTGTATTGCCTGCATGGATGTGATTGCACCATGTCATGCAATGCTTCGGAGGTCCAAAGAGGGCATTAGATTCCCCTGGAACCAGAGTTAAGGACGGTTCATAGCCGCCATGTGGGTGCTGGGAATTGAACCTGGGTCCTCTGCAAGAGCAGTCAGGGCTCTTAACCGCTCAGCCATCTCTCCAGCCCCCCATGTCTTATCTTCAAATGTTAAATCCCAGCTGTTCAGTGAAACCAAATCTCAGATGCCAAGCCATAGATACATGTATCCTTGGGACCCAACTCTGTCCAACCTCTTGCATCAGGCTTGGACCCCAGCTTGGAACACCAGCATAAAGTGACTCTTAATTTTAATAAGGGGCTTGTGGAGGTTTGAATGAGCATGTCCCCCTTAGGCGCCAAGTGTTTGGACATTTTGTCCCCACTGGTGGTGTTCTTTTGGGAGGTCGTAGAAGGTGTGGCTGTGCTGGAGGAAGCATGTCACTGGGGGCGGGCTTAGAGAGTTCTTAAGCCTTGCCTGATTGCTTGCTCCCTGTACCTACTTGAAGATGTGAGAGCTTAGATTCCACTCCTCCTCCAGCCACCTCTGCCACCATGCCACCCCTCCAAGATGGACTGACTCTTGCTCCTTTGGAACCATAAGCTAAATAAACCCTTCCTTTTACAATTTCCTTTGGTCAGTGTTTCTACCACAGCAACAGAAAAGTAACTAATAACACAGGGCTCTAGGAGACCCCACAGGTTTCATCTCTCATGAGACATGAAAATGGAATGACAGAATGTTGGGAGGTTGAGACAAAATCTGAGAGAACAGAGGGGTCTCTCAAATCAGGCCACAGGAGTACCCAATCCCTACAACTGACAGCCCTGGGAACATCCTGCCTGCTGGCAGAACCTCTGAGCTTGGAGCATCCCACAAAGCACATGCTTTACCTTTGCTGGTGGCTGGGGCACATGAAGACCTGGGCTTCTGTCGGCATCCACTGGTGGCAGCAGGACACTGGGGGCCATCTCTCTGCTGAGTTGCTCTTCGGAGCTTTTTCACCGTAGCCAGCCCCTCCCTTGCAACCTTTGGAGAGAAGACCCCCTTATCAGAGACCAGAAGCAACAGGCAGACCTGTACCCCTTCTTCCTAGAGAAGTGTTCTGGCAACTGACCAGGCCAAATCATGATTCCAACATCTGGACAGATGTCAGTGTTGAACTACTCACCACCACCCCCAGCTCCCTTCCCCTCTTCTGTCCGCTGGCTTCGTCTAGCTTCCCATCCGTCTCCCAGCTGGAGCACTTGGGTGTGCTGCTTCGGTGTGTCTCTTTCTTCCTCAGGAATTCTTCTGTGATTCCTAATGACGTGGCCACCTGAAGGGAAAGGGAGAAACGTAAGTGCTGCTCAGAGAGGCATGAGTGTGCGGAAGCTTGTGAGCTACTTGTGAGTGTCCCGTGAAGGACGGATACAAATCCTCGAGGCTCCTTTGTATGGCAAGGTGCAAGTTAAGGAGGAGAAAGATGAAGACAGAGACGAGGCTAATGAAAGAGCTGAGGGTGAAGAGATCCTTACCAAACAGGTCTGCGTTGTGTGGGCAGAAGAGGAAACAGCACTTAAAAAATCGAAACAGTCCTTAGTGCTACCACTGGCCCAGTAACCCCAACTCACACCAATGTGCCTTTTGTGCTCATTGTCTCTCCTGTTCTAATTCTTACCGGCATTCTCAGAAAACTACCGTGCTTACTGCACAGTCTCCCATATCTACTCTTCATGCCTGGTTCATTCAGCTCCCTGACGTTCAGCTGCCTGACAGGGTTCCTGTGAAGATCAGACTGGATTCCACATACAAAGCCTATGTAAAGCACTGGATACACAGAGACAGCTAACATCCTTCACACTCCAGCTTAGAGAGAGGACACCCCTGAGCAGAAGACTGAGGCTGAGGGACACAGGAAGGGCAGCAGAAGAAAACTAATTGAGAAACAGGGCTTGGTAAGTCTAGCACTGTCCAAACTGGACAGTGTCCCCTTAAAAAATGCTGGGCGTGGTGGTGCACGCCTTTAATCCCAGCACTCGGGAGGCAGAAGCAGGCGGGTCTCTGTGAGTTCCAGGCCAGCTGGGACTGCAGGGAGACCCTGCTCAAAAAAAGACCTAAATAAATAAACAAATAAATAAATTAATTAATTAATTAAATTTAATTTAAGGGGCTATGGCTCAGTGGTTAGGAGCACTGACTGCTCTTGAAGAGGACCTGGGTTCAATTCTCAGCACCCACATAGTTAACTAACCATGGCTAACAACCATCCCTAACTCCAGTTCCAGGGGAATCTGAAGCCCTCTTCTGACCTCCGAGGCATTGCATAACATAGATGCACTCACATACATGCCGGCAATACACTCATACACATAAAATAAAAATAATAAAAAATAAATAAATAAAATTTAAAAAGAATATATTCAAGCCAGGTGTGGTGGCACATACCTTTAATTCCAGCACTTGGGAGGCAGAGGCAGGCAGATCTAGCTCAGGGAGATCCTATCTCAAAACAATCTAGCTGAAGGCAGTCTGGTGGAGAATAGGTGCTATGTTGGAACAAGCACGGATCTAATTACTGACCCCTGTGTGCCATGAAGAAATGAGGCCGGCACTGGCCTTGCGCTTCAGTAAGCAGAGGACCTGTGTCCTTGGCCTCTTTTGAGCCAGTCTGCCTTTTCAGTTTTCCGGAAGAAGCATTCGTGTTTCCTCTCATACTAAGGAAACAAAAGCTCCACTCAAGAGGAGAAGGCACCACAGTGGTTGGAAATGAAGACGTCACTGCTGAGAACATTCTCCCTGTTCACAGACACCTTCCTTCAGCTCCTCTAAGAACAATGTGCATTGCCACATGAGGCTACTTACCTCGTTGTTGTTTATCTCCAGAGGCCCCTGAGAACATGGACCAGAACCACTGAGGTAATCCTGACACATCTTCTTCACCATGTGATGCAACTCTTCAAATTCCTTATAAACAGCTGGGAAGGAAGGCTTTGCTAGATGACTTTTCTCAACCTTCATGCAGATAAAGAGGAGAGAGCTCAAGCAATGATGTGGCAAGCAGAAAACAACCTTAAAGACAGAGGATAGGAGCTTCTCCATTCCTGAAGCTGGCTGATGGCTGCAGCTCCTTCACTCCCTGGTGGGTACCTACTATGTGCCATCACTATGTCCAGCTCCAGGAGGATGGTCTGTGAAGAAAAAGGCCAGAAAACAAACCCACAGGGCTGGGGTGGCCTCCAGAGGGAGAGGGAAGGTGGGAAAGGCCTGAGGATGGGGGCACACACACACCCTGAGGTAAGGCCAGCCCAGTATTGCTCCCCACATGGAGTTAAAACAGTCAAGGACGTGATGGTGGTCTACTGAGACATGACCCAGGCAGATACCAACCCTGTGCCAGATCCTGAGGCTCACTTCAGCTCTGGCCTGGGGAAGGAAAATGACTCTAAACAGTTTGGCAAGTAGAAAGGGCAGCTTGTGGCAATTTCACATCCTCCCCTCTACTCACCCTCACCAGAAGAAACTCATACAGAGTCACGACCTGAGCCAGCTGAGGTAGTACCAATTCCACCAGATCCTCTCTACCACACTGCTGCAGAGACTGCCAAAAGAAAGCATTGGCACCTTTAGTTAGAGCCCCAGGAACTTCCAACAGGCAAGCTGGCACAACTTGGAACAGAGCACAGAAAATTCCCCACGACTCACTACATGCAGAAAGTTTCAAGTGTTCATCCATTAGCAAAGCAGCAGGATCAATTCTAGGCTCAAAGTTCTCCAAGCACTGGGTGCCATATAGCAGGGCCTGCAATGAGGACACGGCCCTGAGGACATGTGCATGCTCACTGACAGCTGCAAGGGCAGAAGTGCAAGCACAGAACTGTCGCAGATCAGTGCTGCACGACGCGGTGCCCCACAACTCAGTGCCCTGTGGGAGAAGCAGTTAACTCTGAGTGCCAGGGGCGCAGGTGCAGAGGGCAGTTATACAGACAGCACCAGGGGACTGCAGGCTGGAGGCTGGAAAGGCAGCCCAGGCCAGGTTGGGAGAAACCCAGGACTTGCATTTCCTTCCAAAGATGGCATATGGAGGAAGGTTTTGTTCTGTTAGAGGTGTTGCTATGTTGCCTAGGCTGTTCTCAAGCTCCTAGACTCAAGCGATTGTCCTGCCCCAGTCCCCTGAGCAGCTTGGACTGCAGGCATGCTCATGGTACCTAGTTCTAGAGGGAGGTTTTAGGCAGGGGGTATATGGAGTGGAGGCAGTGCGGCTTAAAGGCAGGAGAAGATGACAACTTTGGCGTGGCAGGAGGCAAGAGAGGGCAATCAGGCCCAGGACGTGGATGTAGGCGGATTTAGGGGGCTGCCGAAAACAGAGGCAGAAGCAGAGCAGAAGCTCAGCCTGTAATCTCAGCACTTCGGAGGTCAAGGTAGGAAGATTGGCAAGATCAGGCTGGCTCCATAATGAGTTTGAGGCCAGCGTGGGTTACAGATTGGCAATGTCTCATAAAACAAAACAAAACAACACAACACAACAAAACAAGAAACAAAAGGAAAAAAGAAAAGAAAAGGACCAGGTGTGGTTTAATCTGAGCACATGGGAGGCAGAGGGAGGCAAATCTCTGTGAGAACAAGGCCAAGTCTACATAGCAAGTTCCAGGCCAGCTGGGACTACAGGGAGACCCTGCCTCAAAAACATACACACAGGGGGCTGGAGAGATCGCTCGGTGGCTAAGAGAGCTGGCTGCTCTTGCAAAGGACCCAAGTTCAGTTCCCAGCACTCACACAGTGGCTGACAACTATCTGTAATTCCAATTCCAAGGGATCCAATGTCCTCTTCTGGCCTCTTTGAGCACTGTACAACATGGGTTCACTTACAAAACACTCAGACATAAAGTAAATCTCACACACACACACACACACACACACACACACGAAAGAAGGGAGGGAGGGAGGAAGGGAGGGAGGGAAGGAAGGAAGGAAGGAAGGAAGGAAGGAAGGAAGGAAGGAAGGAAGGAAGGAAGGAAGGTTGGATGGTAGGGGGAAAGGGGGTAAAGAGAGGAAGAGAGAGAAGAGAGAAGCAAGAAGGGGCTGGGCTTCCCAGCTTGAGCACCCAGTCCAAAGGAGCAGAACTTCCTCACAGCGGGGAGAGACAGGACACCAGCTGTGTGCCCTCTAAGACATGGAAGAGGAGGAGATTTGAGAGTCACCCAAGTGGGTAGTTTTCTAATGAGAGATCCGAGGCTCCAGGGAGAGGTCTGATCAGGAGGTACAAATGTCAGAGAGGAAGCAACACAGGGAGGGGAGTGTGAAGAAGCCTTGGGGACACAGTGTGTGAGGTGAGGTAGGCCGCGCAGTCAGGCTTAGAGGGAATAATCAGGAGCTGCTAAGACCTGGAAGGGACCAGAGAAGGCCTTAGTTCTCCAGAGGAGCTAAAGGAACACCTTCTTATTGTCAAGACAAACACATCTAACTCAGAGGCCAGCAGGCTGGCTCAGTTTGCCGTGCAAGCCTCATGACATGAGTTTGAGCCCAAGAACCCACCTGTAAGTGGAAGGAGAACCAAGTCCACAGAGCTGTACTCTGACGTCCCACACGCACCATTGGCACGTACACACAAACGATAATAAGTAAGCAAGTAAGGTTAACTACGATGGTCAAAAGCCCTCAGAGAAAGACTAGCAGTCGGTTTCAGCTCTATGGGAGCACAGGAAGGTCAGTTATAAGGTATCGCCTCACGATGATGATGGTAGACAGGACACCACCGTTATGCACAGTGCATATATCCACCTGCAGCTTTTGCCTGTTTTTTTTTTTATGTATATGAATGTTTTGCCTGCATGTATGTACATGTACCACTTGTGCATACAGTGCCCGAGAAGGTCAGAAGAGGGCTCAGATCCTCTGAACTGGAGTTAAGGATGGGTGTTAGCCACCATGTGGGTGCTGGGAACTGAACCTGGGTCCTCTGCATGAGCAGCCAGTGCTCTCAACCACTGAGCCATCTGTAGTCTTGGCAGTGGATTCCTACCCTACTTCCTGCCTCCTGCCAGAGTGGCAGTTATGTCTAGCTTGCACACACTGTCCCTCCATAATGAGAACTCAGCCTGACAGGTTATGGGCACTCAGTTCATGTATAAATTAATGTTAACCTCTAGGGGGTGTTTTCATCTAAGAGACTCAGAATGGTCCTGCTTACAACAGCAACCAATTGTCTAAGGGACAGCTGGGGTATTGTATGTGGGGCTGGCAGTGTCACCGCAATACAGTCATTCATGTACAGCCTGGGCCAGTCTCACTGCCTCTGACCCCAAATAACCTGCGATCAAATTCTGGACGTGCCTCCTGCCTGCAGTGACCCTGGGTATTTGCTTTCCCTGCCTTTCAGGCTGCTCATCTATTAAACTGGGGATTATTGCCAGGTGTGGTGGCAAATGCCTTTAATCCCAGTACTCAGGAGGCATAGGCAGGTGGATCTCTGTGAGTTCACATAGTGAGTTCCAGGCCAGCTGGGGCTACAGGGAGACCCTGTCTCAAAAAGACCAAAAATAAATAAATAAATAAATAAATAAATAAATAAATAAATAAATAAATAAATAGGGATTATTGTGGAATAAATGACAGGAGGCTGGCTTGGAGCTCAGCACAGAGACACTGGGATGCAGGAGACTTGAGCTGCCTCAAAAAAATACTCTATAAACCGTGCTGATTCTAATGCTGAATGATGGACTCCAGACAAAGGCTCCCTCCCACCTCTAACAATCAATCATCCAAGGTGTCCTGACTCAATGGGAATGGAAGTAAAGCTAACTCTCTAGTGTTTAAATTTGCAGTCACAACTTACAACACTACACTGTGCTGTAAAACTCTTTATATAAGAAATCCGTTTCCTGGAAACCCAGGTCTTCCACTGTGTAGGAGTTAGGGCCTTTTGCCCCTTGGCAGCCTCTCTGATGTGAGCTGTTTTGCTGGACAGCTTTAGGGTCAACTTGACACATCTGGGTTGAGGGAGCCTCAATTGGGGAATTGGACTGGCCTGTGGCCATGTCTGAGGGGCATCTTCTTGATGAGTGATGTGGGAGGGTCCAGCCCACTGTGGGTGGTGCCACCCCTGGGTAGGTAGGCTTGTGTTGCACAAGAAAGCAGGCTGATCAGGGGCCAGGGGAGCAAGCCAGTAAGCAGCATTCCTCCATGGACTGTGCTCCAGGTCCTGCCTCCAGGTTCCTGTGCTGAATTCCTACCTTGGGCTCCCTGATGAACTGTGACTCAGGAGATGTAAGACAAAATAAACCCTTTTCTCCCCAAATTGGTATTGGTCAGAGTGTTTTGTCACAGCGGTGGAGAAACAAACTAGAACAGAAATTGGTACCAGAGAGTCGGGCACTGCTGTGACAGACCTGACCTTGGTATTTTTAGGATTATGGAAGCATTTGGAATTTTGGTCTGAAAAGCTGGTGTGTGCTTAGAGTTTGTTGTTGTGGAGCTTGAAACAGTTATGCTGAAAGAGCTGTAGACAACAGAGGTCTGGCTTGTGAAGCTTCAAAGGGAAGCAGAGCCTATCAGGGCTGTTTGTGTGAGATTTTGAATTAAGAATCTGTTGGTTCTGGTTGGCTGGGGCTGAAGAATCAGCTGTGATTAAGAAGAGACCAGAATCTGAAGTAAAACCTTTGCTTTACTGGGACAATTGATGCTGGTTAGCTGGGGCTGAAAAATCAGCTGTAACAAGATACCAGCATCACTGTGGTGAAGTCTTCTGGGAGGTATTTCCTCAGGGTCAGCACACAGAGGGGATCTGCACCTCTATCTCAAGCTGGAAGCAGGACTTGGTAATGTGTAAGAGTCTCCTGCATGGTTCT